TTGGCAGATTTTCTCACCAAAGGCATTCCCAAGGCAAAACTTCAGCATGATACCAGCAAGCTTGGCATGATTGACATCTATGCTCAGCTTGAGGGGGAGTGTAGAGAAGATGGGCCGATTGGCCCATAGGTTGCTTATTCTTTCTTGTTTTTTATGTTTCTTTTCTGTAATGGGCCTTATTCTGGGTCCATCCAGTCAATATTAAGTTCAGTGTAAATTCTTGCCCAACTAAGGGCCTCCTTGTAATTATTCAAATATTTCACAGAGAGTTCCTCCTCCATTGCTTGATGCCACCTGGGTGAAGTAAGAGCCTCCTAGACATCCTTAGGTATAGATATAGATGACAATAGAGAAACAAACTGGCGATGTGAAGCAAAAAGGTGAGAGACCGAAACAAAATTGGAAATGGGATATAGGGTACAACTACGTCCACCTTTCCGTAAAGCAATGAGAAGATCAAGCTCTGAAGGTTTTGGGATAGGAGCAACAACAGGATCCGCAGACGAGGTAGAAGCCGAAGGAGGTGCCGATGTTTGTTGATGAGTATACACGTACCGGATTGGTGGTCGTTTAGTAGGAATCTGCACTTGAGGTGAAGGTTCAACCCCAACTAGAACAACCGGAACGGGATCACAGACTGGAAGAGGGAGAGGAAGCAAAGGTAGAGATGACGATATTTCAGGTCCCGAGAAGAACAGGATGGAGTAAAAAAATGTGACATCAGGACAGACATAGAACTTCCAAGTAATGGGATTGTAATACTTATACCCTTTCTGGGTCCGAGAGTAGCCAAGAAAGATACACTTAATATAGCGTGCATCCAGCTTGTCTAAACCAGGACTTTGATTGTGAACAAAGCACACACAACCAAAGACCTAGGGTGTTGATGGAAAGGGAGACAAGGTGGGGAACAAAATAGAAAAGGGAGACCGACCATGAAGGACGAAGGAGGGTATCCAATTAATAAGGAAACAAGCAGTAAGTACAACATCACTCCAAAATCATTTAGGAACACTCATATGATGAAGAATAGACTAAGCAGTTTCAAGAAGACGACGGTTCTTTCATTCAGCCACACCATTTTGTTGAGGGGTTGATGCACATGAAGTTTGCCGAATGATGCCATGCTGTTCTAAATACTATTGAAAGGAAGTAAGAAAGTATTCATGACCATTATCTGAACGAAGAACTTTGATTGGAACACCAAATATTTTGATTTAGTTCACTCAGTCGTATGTCGAGTCCTTTTGATTTAGTTCACTCAAATGTGTGGGGTCCAATCAGAATTGAGTCTTATAATGGTTACAAATATTTTGTTATCTTTGTTGATGATTGTTCAAGAATGACATGGCTTTATTTAATGAAAGAAATAAGTGAATTATTTTCCATTTTCCAAAAGTTTCATGCTGAAGTGCGTACACAATTTGATGTTTCACTTAAAATTCTTCCTTCTGACAATGGTAGAGAGTATTTTCTTTCTTCATTCTAGCAGTACTTGGAACAATATGATATTATTCATCAGACATCTTGTGCTCACACCCCTCAGCAAAATAGGGTGGCTTAGAGGAAGAACTGACATCTACTTGAAACAACTCGGTCTCTCCTTCATCATATGAATGTTCCTAAACGTTTTTGGAGTGATGCAGTCCTGACTGCTTGTTTTCTCATTAATTGCATGCCCTCATTTATTCTGAATGGTCGTTCTTCGTTCTCTATCTTATTTCTCACTTTGTTTCCATATCCTCTAACTCCCAGGATCTTTAGGAGTGTGTGTGCTTTGTTCAGAACCTTGGTCCTGGACTAGACAAGTTGGATGCTCGTTCCATTAAATGTATCTTCCTTGGCTACTCTAGGACCCAGAAAGGGTACTAATGCTACAACCTTGTTACTTGAAAATCCTTTGTGTGTCCTGATGATAAATTTTTTGAATTAGTGCCATACTTCTCTCCTTCTGATATCCCTTCTCTTCCTATAGAGGTTCCTCTTCCTCTTCCGGTTGATAATTCATCCTGGTGGTTCCCATTATGCCTGAGTCTACACCTTCCCCAATGCAGGAGCATAGTGAAAGATCACCAATTCGTCAAGTGTATAGTCATTGAAAGAGGCCAGGACCTCCACCACCATCTACTCCGTTGGCTGATCTAGCTCTTTCCACAACTGAATTGCCTTCTGACCTTGACCTTCCTATTATAGTGCGGAAAGGTATACATAGTTGCACACTACATCCTATATCCAATTATGTTTTTATATCTCACCTTTTTGCATCCCATCGTGAGTGTATTACCTTGTTATCCTCTGTATCCATACCTAAGGATGTTCAGGAGGCTCTTAGTTCACCAGGCTGGAGAAAAGCTATGGAAGAAGAACTCTCTGCTCTTCATCCCAATCATACATGGGAACTCATCAATCTTCCCCCAAATAAACATGTTGGTTGTAAATGGGTGTATGCTATTAAGTATTTACCAGATGGGAGAGTGGAACGACTGAAATCCCGTTTAGTTGCAAAAAGGATACTATCAACTTTATGGTGTAGACTATGTCGAAACCTTTTCTCTAGTTGCAAAGATTGGCTCAGTCCATGTGTTGATTTCCTTAGCTGCACTGCATGATTAGCCTCTCTTTCAGCTTGATATTAAAAATGCCTTTCTCCATGATGATCTTCTAGAGGAAGTGTACATGGAGCAACCACTAGGGTTTGTTGCTCATGGGGAGGATGGTAAGGTGTGTAAGCTCAAGAAGGCAATCTATGGGCTCAAACAGTCTCCCCGTGCTTGGTTTGGCAAATTCAGTGAAGTGGTGAAGGAGTTTGGAATGAGGCAATGTCAAGTTGACCATTCAGTATTTAGCTATGACTCTGTGGCTGGGAAGATCTAGCTGGTAGTGTATGTGGATGACATAGTCATAACTGACAGTGATAGAGTTGGGATTGATAGATTGAAGTCATTCCTACAAAATCACTTTTAGACAAAAGATCTTGGGAAGTTGAAGTATTTTCTGGGTATAGAAGTTACTAGATCAAAGGAAGGCATCAACCTTTGTCAGTGGAAATATGTTCTTGCCCTGTTGGAAGAAACATGGTTGCTAGGTGCTAAACCAGCTGAAACTCCCATGGAACTGAATGTGAAGTTGGGAAGTGACACAGGTGAATTGTTTGATAATCCTGGAAGGTATAGAAGGCTAGAGGGAAAACTGAACTATCTAACTATCACTAGGCCTGACATCTCTTTTGCCGTCAGTATAGTAAGCCAGTTCATGCAGAATCCTTGGGTGCCTCACTAGGACGCATTTCTTAGAATTGTGCGGTATTTGAAGGGGGCCCTAGGTCATGGGTTACTATACAAGCCAGGAGGTGATCTTGAAGTAGTTGGATACACTGACACAGACTGGGCTAGCTCTGTATCAGATAGGAGATCCACTACAGGTTATTGAACCTTTTTGGGAGGAAATCTAGTAACTTGGAAGAGCAAGAAGTAGGCTGTTGTAGCAAGGAGTAGTGCAGAAGCAAAATACAGGGCCATGGCACATATTATATGTAAGCTAGTGTGGTTGAAAAATCTATTGCAGGAAATCGGGTTTTCAATAAGCAAACCCATGAAACTATACTGTGACAACCAGGCTGCAATTCACATCTCATCCAACCCAGTTTTTCATGAGAGAAGTAAACACATAGAGGTAGATTGCCACTTTGTAAGGGAAAAGGTCATCAATGGTGAGATAAGTACTGAGCATGTGAGAACAGGTGATCAATGGGCAGATCTGTTCACAGAAGGGTTGAGTTCAGGAAGAGTGAGCTATATATGTAACAAGCTGGGATTATATGATATATACTCTCTAGCTTGAGGGGGAGTGTTAGAGTTGACTAAAGAGGGGTATTTTGGTATTCTTCTTCTTCTTCTTCTTCTTCTTCTTCTTCTTCTCTCTTCAACATCTCTAAACCTTACAACTAACATCAATTCTATTGGACGACATTTCAACAAGATAATAGTTTGAGAATAAAAAATAGTAGGGAAACCAAAGCCGAAAAGAAGAGAAACGAGGAATCATTCAAACAACTTGGGTCAAAGCAGTTGAGCAAGTATTCCATCACTAAGGGGTATTAAAACTCTTCTAAGAACTCCATCAACAACCCAAACAGCAATGTTTCCAAAAACGTTAAGTTTCGGGACTCTACAACAAGAAAAGGGATCAAGAACCCTTCAAAACTGATCTGAAATCCAGTCATATTTATGATAAATGGATAACATACTTAAAAATTGTACCAACTTATAAGTGGATATGCTAGTTACAGGTTCCTTGCCTTACCTTGCAGTTCATACAAGTTAGACAACCATAACTGGAAAGCAATATAGCTGACTGATCCAAAATACCATTTCTCAAACCCAAGTATTCATTTTCAATTACCCTGCAGCAAAAGGATAGGAAAATATAAAACTAAAAGACTGAATGTGTTAAGTAGAAAGTTAAGAACACATGGGAAAATAAGAGAACAATTCCATCTTCACTAGGTTCTCAACCACATCTTACAACACCTCATAGAAAGACATTGTAGCCAAAGAAAACTACATCTTATGACACCTCATAGAAAGACATTGTGATAAATTTGGACCTAGGGCTTTGTGACCATCAATCAGTTTTTATCAGTAAAAGGCCATCCTCAAAACTTTCTTGGAATTGGTCAAAAAGGGTATATACATGACAGGAACAGTGAAGAAGAGAGAAAAGTAATCTGTTTGGGTGTGTCTACAGCCAAACAATGCCTTAAAATATAAATTGCATATTGCTGTGAGAAAGGAATGAGAAATCACTATTATGTCCTACAAAAGCAAAGCAGAGGCTGCACAATTATGATATAGCATATATACGATATGGTACAGAAGTGCACCCAGACCATATACAACAAAAAGTTCAACATAAATACAAATCAAGCCTTAGGCTTTCTACTCTGCCCTTCAAATGGATGCCATGGTACAAGCATCAATTTTTCGTTCAGAAAACTGTGTCTAGTATGTATCATAGCTATAGTAAAAATGTTTGCCAATTAAAGTCTAGAGGATATCTGAGGAAGAGTAGAATTGCCTTAAAGAAACTGGTCTTTGATGAAGTTGCAATCAACCTCTATATGCTTGGCATGCTTATAGAATATTTGCATAGAGGCAATTTTAATTGCACTCGTACTGTTTGCAAATAGAGGGACGGGAAAAAAGATGTCAATGCATAAATCATGTAGTAAAGCCTGGAGCTACACAATCTCATTGTAGATAGATGAAGAGAGGATGAAGAAGAACAACCTGTGAGAGAGAGAGAGAGAGAGAGGCATGAACATACAAAACGATTCAAAACAATTAAAGAATGTTGACACTTGCCAAGGCTGTCCAGGAGAAGAAACAAATTGGATACCACTAGGATAAGATAGGATATATCTAACCTTGTTATTGTAAGATAGATGAGAAAGCCCACGGGCTATCAGTATAAAGTAGCATTTGTTAGACACTGTGTGCCCTTAGGATCTAATATATTGTGTAAACTACTTTTGTTTTATTTATAAAAGTTAAGTTTCTAGTACAGTTGCATGTGTCATTGGGTAATTTATGTTATAGTCCTTTTTTTGATAAATGAAATATTAATGCGTTGAAGGTTCTCAATCACTTGCCACCATTGTGAGAGATTTGGAATCTTTGGCATGAACTACCACAGTAGATCACTGTGCTTGTGAATTTCCCTTCAAGTTTAAGGTATGTTTTAGTTGTGTTTATGTCTGATTTTACATAGTCCAAATCCCTTGTTCAATCCCATAGAGAAAAAAAAATTGACTTGGCTGAAATAGATGGTAATAAGACCTAGTTTTAATAAGAAATCAGCAAATCAGCAAAAGAAAGAAGAGAAAAAGGGAAAGAGAATAGAGAAGAAGAAAAGAAACAAAGAGAATGAGAGAAAAAGGAATTTATGGTCCTGTCATCCCAATTATTGCTATTTATATTAAAACAAATAAAAGGAGATAAAAAGACAAGAATACCCCTGTGACTATATGAAAGAAAGAAATAATAATAAATAACAGCAATAAATAGTGAGACCACAAGCTTAATTAGCTGCATCTCCACACTCCCCCTCAAGTTGGGAATAGATATTAGTCATGCCCCACTTGCATGGATCTGTCTCCAGATTGACATTGGTAATTGCTTTGGTAAGAAATCAACAAGATGCATACCAGAGGCAACATAAGGAAGACAAAATTCTTGAGAGGCAACTCACTTTGATGAAACGTCGGTCCACATCAATATGTTTAGTTCTATCATGCTGTATTGGGTTATAAGCAATATTATCGGTAGATTGGTTATCACAATATACTCAATGCCCAATTCTTTAAGTAGATATCTCAACCATAACACCTCAGCCACACTATTATCCATAGACATGTACTCTACTTCAACATTGGAGTGGGAAACAACATTTTATTTCTTACTCCATGAAACAAGATTTCTTCCAACAAAGACACAATATCCTTAAGTGGATCTCCTGTCATCAAAACACCTGGATCAATCTGCATTAGTGTACACTTCTCTCTTCATATGACCATTATTCTTGAAAAGCATACCTCGGTCTGGACGCCTCTTCAATAGGCAAAGATCCTTTCAATAGCAAGAAGATGAGTTGTCCTAGGAGAGTGTATATACTAACAACACTGACAACATAAGAAACGTTAGGATGTGTTAGGCAAAGACAGAGAAGCTTCTTAATTAGCCGTTGATACATTGCTTTTTCTTCAAGGGACTCACCCCCTTTTGCATTTATCTTATGATTCAACTCAATAGGTGTGTCTGCAGGTTTAAGTTCCCAATTTTCCAGTTTCCTCAAATTGATCAAGGACATATTTCCTCTAGGGGATAAAAATACCTATAGAAATGATGGGCTGAATGGGCCTCAGTGTCTTATTTTCTTATTGGGTTTATTAGTTCCTTCTATTTATTAGCTAATGGGCCTTAGTTGTGGGCCTATCTTCTTTGTTTGTTTATTATTATTAGTACAGCCACACTACCAAGGGCACCCTTGTAATTGTACATTAAATTAGAATAAGTTCTAAAAAAATATGATTAAGGGACTAGAGAGAGAAATGATCAAGCTCTCTTTCTCTTCCCTTTTCTTCCTAATTCTTCATCTTTCTTTTGAACTTCTTCTCTAATTTTAGAATTGTTGCTGGTCTATATTTAATCTTTGTATTAGAGCAAGTCGCCACTTCCTGCTTTCTTTTTCTTAAGCCCATATATATAGTGTCTATGGAGAATTAAGTTGCTGATTGGTGGGAGGTTGATGCCCCCTAGTTGGGGGAGTTTTCAGGAAAAGATTACACATTCAGATTGAGGCCCAAGACAAGTTCTTGGAGATTATTCCTGAAAACACTACCTGACCAGAGAAATCAGCTTAAGGGGTCTAGAGATAGTTGAAGCTGGTGCTTGGGGCATAAAGGAGGTTTGTTGACCAATTTGGAGATCAAATCAGTTAGAAAAGTTTTTGGAGTCTCTGGTAGGAGTAGCTATAACTTCTCTCTTCCTCTTGGGATGTCAGGTACTATGAAACCCTAGTTTGTGGCTATAAAAGAGTAGCTTTGACTTCAGGTTAGTGTTATTTGATTAGTAGTAACTTATTTTTGCTTGTTTCCATTTAATCAATAGAGCAAACTGGAGTTGAGAGAAAACAACTTACAGACTCTAGATTTAGCTGGGGGTCTGTGGAGACTCTATTGGGGGTAGTGACTACTATGAAGTTAGATAGAACCAACTATTTGGCATGGTTGCATTCAATAAAAATCCATGTTTATAGTAGAGGAAAATGGAGGTACATCACTAGGAGTAAGGCAAAACCTAAGGAGGACGATCCTACCTATGAGAGGTGGATGCATGAAAATTACATAGTTGTAGGTTGGTTGGTTAATTCAATGGAACCTCATATCAGTTAATACTACTTGTGGGTGGATACTGCTAAGGAGGTATGGGATAGTGTCAAGGAGACCTACTCATAGAAGTTGAATGTTTCTAGGACTTATAAATTAAGAAAATGATGTGAATAATCTAAGACAAGGGGAGAAGCCCTTAGCTGTGTACTTCTCAATGCTGAAGTATCTATAGCAGGAAATTGATTTGATGGAAATGGTTGAATAGGGGTGCACAAAAGATGTTGAAACTCATAGGAAATTGATGGAGAGGAATCAAGTCTTTGAGTGTCTTACAGGACTCAACCCTGAATATGATATAGTTAGGTAGAATGTTTGAGCAAAAGATGAAGTGATCCTTTCTTAGGCATTTTTATGGAGGTTATAAGGAATCACCCAAAAGAAATAAGAAGGAACCCATGAACAACACAAACTCCTAAGCCCAAAAAAAGAACATAGCTTTAATTTTAACCCTCAAAAAATAACCCCCACTTGCTTCCAAAGCATGGAACCCTCAACAGAAAGCGGAACAAAAGAACCCAACCAACAGAGAAAAACTTTAAAAATATCCATAAAACTAACAACACTCTAAGTTAGAATTTTTCAACAACCATCGGTTACTGAAGCTCTAATTCCTGAAACACTTTTCTAGTTTAGTCTTCCCATCCTAGAACCAATAAGCCCAATTTTCTGCTGACTTGGAGACTAGTTTCAACCACCTTTTCCATATCCACTTTTTTCTCAACTTTTTAAACTTATCAAACTCTACACTTTCTTCCTCTTCAGCTTCATCAATTTCCTCTTATGAGCTATCCTCTTCCCCCAACAAACCCCTTCTTTTGCCTGGGACTTTTTAGTAAAATCTTCTGGCTTAACTCCTTTCTTAGGCTTATTCTATGGTCAGTAATGAAGAAAGTAGAAAACAAGTTCAGATTGTGGAAGTACTAGTAGATCATTTTGCTAAGGATGGGATGAAACATGAGGTGATTACTGAGAAGGATGTTGTGTGTGAATATTGCATGAAGTCAGAGCACACGAAGGATACCTGTTGGAAGCTGCATCCAGATCTCCTACTTGCTAGGTTTAAGAATACCAATAATGACAGAAAGAGTTGGAATGGGAAATGTGGTAGTACTAATGTAGCCACCTCCTTTGAGGGTGCAAAGGGGCCATAGAATGAGAAATCTATAGGGAACAGCTTACAGCCACCAGGGTTGAATATGAGAACTATGGTCATATTATTAGTCATTTAGAACCTACCTCTTCAGCTTCTAGTCCACAAGGCAATGGCTCCACTTTTGCTTATGCTCACTCAGGTATTCGCGTTACTACGAACCATGCTTCTACCTCAGGTAATCATAGGGTCCCTTGGATAATAGATTCTAGTACTTTTGAGTTCTAAACATATAACCTATGTTTCCACTTTATTCAATACTTACCAACCTTTATCTAGATGTGACAAAACATCCCTTGTTGAT